ACCTTCCTTGCTGAAACTGAAGAGGGCATGAGGCAATTGCTGCAGAAGGTCAAGGAATGTAGTGTTCACTATAAATTGAAGCTCAACATTAAAAACAAAACAAAAACAACCAAAGATTCTCACCACTGGGGCAATTAGCAGCTTCATAAAGGATGGAAAAGACATTGTGATTGTTGATAACTTCAGCTTGCTTGGTTCTACAATCAACACTCTTGGCACCAGCAGTCAGAAAATCAAAAGACTAATTGCATTGGGAAAGTCTGATGTCAGAGACCTCTCTAGAACAACAATGATAGTCTGGAGACTAAGCTGTGCCTGATCCAGGATATGGTCTTCACAATTACTTGCTATGTATCTGAGAGATGGACAATAACTGTGGATTATAGAAGAAGTATTTCTGCCTATTAGTTGTACTGGAGAAGAGAGTTGAACATACTGTGGAATGCCAGAACGAACAGGTATGTCCCGGAGAGGGTAAAACCAGGCTGCTCCCCGGAGACAAGGATTTTGAGGCTCCACATCACATACTTTGGTCATGTGGCCAGGAGGGACCAACCCTTGGAGAGGGATATCATGCTTGGAAAGGTGGGAGGACAGCACAGGAGAGGAAGACCCAGGATGAGATGGATTGATTCAGTTACTGGAGGAATGGGATAAGGTCTAGCTGAGATGATGAGATTGGCTCAGGATAGGGCAGGTTTCAGAGCTAACGTATATACAAGATCACTATGAGTAGAGGTGGCTCAATGGCATATAACAACCACCACCACCACCACCACTTTTTTTAAGGCCTTCCTCTCCCCAACTGAAAGTATAAACTATAAACATAAAGAATAACTTTAAAACCAAACCTGTCACCTTTAATCATTGTGCAGAATTCAAGAAAGGTATATATGCATGTGGCCAGGAGAGACAGGTCCTTGGGGAAGGACATTATGCTTAGAAGAGACAGCGCAGGAGAAGAAGATGCTGGATGAGATGGATTGATGCAGTGATTGGGGTAATGGTGGTTGGTGTGTCAGAATTAGTGAGAATGGCTCAGGACAGGGCAGGGTTCAGAGCTGCTGTACATAGGGTTGCTATGGATTTTAGGTGACTCAACAGCACATAAAAAAAAGTATAGATAGATAGATAGATATAGATATATC